TGTAACAGCTTGTCTTGGAAGTGGAGCTATTGAAAGCTCAATAGCTCCCCTTAGTGGTGTCATGCAAGAAATTCACCAAGAAGTCTCCTAAAGACCTCTGCGCACATTTCTAAACGTTCAGAAAAGTGTGAACTGATATTCACTATTTGAGTAATTCCCAACAAATAAATTCTATCTGTGATTCTGTGGAAGCAAATTTTTATAACCCTATTACATTTTAAAAGGTAATTTAGCATTTTCTATAGTTTTCATTTTTCACTTGGAACTTAAATAATACATAATTTAGGAAAAATAATTCAGGACTGTTTCTTTCTCTTTGTTCTTTTTCACATGTTTATTCCTTTTAGTTCATATTTGTATTTGAACAGGTTTTAAAAATACAACCTGCAACTAATTTTCATTTTGTATCTAAGTGTCTGTTCCAAATGCACCTAATCAGAAAACTTGCCTTAAAAACTAGTAGCTACAGTACGTCAAAAAACATACTTTATATATAAAAAGAAATTAAATGAGAAACCATGTGATGTGAAATAAACTTTGAGAGTATACATTTAAAGAAATTGGATCTTCTATTGGTCTACAGCTGTGGGTCTTATTCTCTACCAGAATAAACTCAGGGTGAATTTGTTAACTACAGGTTCCTGGTGCCCTCATAAGACCTACTGAATCATAAGCTCCAGGGGTGGGGCCTAGGAATATGTATTTCTCAAAGTCATCTATGCTTGGAAACCTGGCCTGCAGAAGGCCCTAGGAGGTACTTAGATAAATGACTATGTATTTCTGTACTAATAGGAAATAATTTCAGTATCTCAAAAATATCACCTATTCAATCATGTGATACTGATTTGCAATGAAATCTTACATAATACGTGGCTAGACTGATCTGCACAGAGATTTTAGTTACTCTTTCAAAAGTTAAGACTCAACACTGGGTATTATATAAGACTGATGAATCACTGACCTCTACCTCTGAAACCAATAATACATTATATGTTAATTGAATTTAAATTTTAAAAAAACGTTAAGGCTCAAAAATAAATACCTGTGCACTGTGTATACACCCTTTATGGATTCTAATTACAAAAGTGCCCCTGAAATAGGAAATAAGGTCACATGTCAGGATATCCTATTGGCCTTTTCTAAACTAGTCACAGAAACATCCACTCTGCCCTGCTCTCAGATTCTGATACTTGCCCTTTTCCCATTTTCAGTATCACTGATCCTCAGGACAAACTCCCAACATGGCAAATGAGTCCTGTACATCGTTCCAGCTTCTCTGAGTAATGTCCTATATTTAGACTCTGATCAAACCACGGAAGTCTACATTTTCAGTTCCCCAGATTCACCATGTCCTTGCATGCCTTCATTGACATACTGTTCACTGCCCGACATCCCCTTTTGCCCTCTTCGGCCTGGCAAACGCTCACTCATTCTGTAAGGCTCAAAAACATCACCCCATCTGGGGAGTCTTTTTTGATCTCCGTTGGCAGAGGTCAATGCTTTTCTTGCTGTGCTCCCATTAGGAGTTTGCACACTCCTCTCTCTCTATTTTATCATTAGCTTGTGACTATAATTATTGTGCCTATCTCCATGTCTCATTTGTATCCCCAAGTTGTAGCACACTTTTTGGCATGGAGTAGAAGCTTAATTCATGTTTTTGTAATGAGTTAATAATATCAGCGTTCACTTCTCCCATTATTAATGTGTGCCAGGCACTATGCTAAGCTCTTTACAAGCATCTCGTGTAAACTTTACAACATTTAGGAAGTAGTAATGATTATCCACATGTTAAATATCAGCTAATCCTGAGAAATACCAACAAATTGCCAAAAGTCACACAACTAGTTGGTGGCAGACCTAGAATTTGAGCACTGTGTTTTTCTGACCATAAAAACAGCAGTCTTAAACAAATGTTGCACCATAAAGGCTCAGGTCATACTTGATTGCTAAGAGCAATTTCTCTTGGATGGTCTCTATCCGACATCAACCTCATACCTGGAACATGGAGGGATGATGATCATTAGAACACTCTACAACCCAAATCTGGTGCATGTGTACACATGCATAATAGTGATATTGATTGAATATCAGTGATATTGATTGATTGATTTGAAACGCAGACACATATATAAGATAGTGATAAGTTTGCTTAGTTTGCAAACTTACCAAAAAAAGTATAAAACAACTATTGACCACATCAATAAAAAGTCATCAGAATAGAAAAAGAAGTCCCCTTTTAATGAAAACCTTACAAAATTTCCCAAATTGCACGTGATTTTTAGTGGATTACAGCCACTCTCCTGCATTTCTATTTTATTTCTTGGACAAGAGGAAAATATATTATTTATGCAAAAGGGTAGTTAGTGTTTCCAACCACTAACACATGGTGTGTAAAAAATAATAATCCCATTTTTCTATTGTGCAATAGCCCTCTGTTGGGCAACAATCATGTACAATGTGCTAGTTTCCTGTTACTTTACTAGAGCCTCCCCTTACACTCACTGCCCAGACTAAATAGTTATTCCTTGGCTAATAAAACTATAATACTGAGTTTCATGCTACTTCCAAAAATGTTTCTGCCTGTCTTAAGAAATAATCATATCAGTTTGCTAATAAGCAGAAATGCACTGTAAGTTGAATATGTTGTCACATGTGGCTAAAAAACATATAAATCAATCTGCGGCCAAGAAAGAAGCAATATATTTCTTATGCATTCAGAATATTATGGTTAAGATCACAGCTGTAAGACGTTGGACCATCATCAAGAGAACAATGTCAAACACTGAACTTTTGGATAATTTCCATAAAAATAACATTTTGTTTGGGGTCAGTAGTTTTTATGGAACTTTGGAATAATTTTCACTGACAATTTTTTTTAGAGTTGAACTTGAACACCTCCAAAATGCTCCTCAAAATGGAAATACTATGTAATCTAACCTTTGTGACCAGGTCCTTCTGAAAACCAAGCACATATCATGAAAACCAGCATTTCTCTCTTTCACGTTGTACAGTTTCATGAAAATTAAATTATGCTGCATACTCAGGAAGGTAAATTTACTCTTCAGTTTTCTCTGTTTAATTACCAAGTTCAAGTCATCAGCGCCTCAAATGTGTAATAATTAAAGCCAGAATGAGAAAAAGAAACTAGATTCCTTCCTCAGAAATTTTATCAATCCAGCAAATTCTTTCAAGTGAAAAGAATAATGGAACTGGTCAATCAGTGTACAACTAGTTCAGCTCTAGGTATAATGTCTTTTTAGAGTCCAAAATTTGGAGGTGCACTATGTTTAGCCCAACAAGGCAAGTTTTCATAAAGTAGTTGGAAGATTTTATAAATATAGTCTCAGACAAAGCTCACTGTAACATAAAATCATTAATCCAAGGAGATTTTTTTGGCCCAGGATACATATGCGGTATTAATAATATTGCTCCCTAGGATTCTGTAACCAGAGCTCAAGAAGAAGAAAGCCAAACCACTGTATTCAATATTTGCAGCCTTTTTCAGGACATGAAAATATTTTGGTTCTCTCATACAAATAAATTCTCCAAAATACTTTGTCTAAAATGATTTTTTGAAGACAGATACTAATTTCAAATTTTACATGGCTCAGTCTGTGGGGATGCACATTATCAGAATTTTTCCCACATCAAGGAGTAGTTGGTTCCTAGTTTTCATTTTCTATGATATTGACTTAATTCAGTAATTTCTCATTGGGATATATATACATATATAGTGATGGATCCTGCTAAAACCATGCCCTCAAAAATTATTTTGCACTGTAGACTAAATATTTATATATATAATGTTTACATGATAATAAAATACTTAGTTAATTCACTGTCTAGAAATAAATGAAAATAAGAGACAAAACAAAAAAAGAAATAAATGAAAACACCCCATCCAATTTGATGCAAGTCTCATGCACTTTGCTCAAATTACTCTCTTCCCCTAAAACTCTTAGCAATTTTCCAGTGCCAACAGAATGAAACAGTTCTTCTCCCTGGCTCCAGTCTATCTTGCAGTATGCCTTTCCACATCAAAACCTTCAAGGTCATGTTGATTCCACTTTTTAAAAATGCCCCGTACTGTGAATCTGAACTAAATCTATGCTTCAAATCCAGTTCAAGATCAGGGATCTCCATGGAATCTAGTGTATATCCAATAAATATTTGCTCATTTGAGTGAGAGAGACATAATGTTCCTGCCTGCATAGCTGATACCATAGGGTTATTGATAAGTTATAGTTAGCACTCTGCATGTAATTGCAAAGGAAATTAACTTCAACATATAAACATTTGCGTTGAAATAAAGTACATTTATCCTGGTATTTGCATATTTGTTATGTAAAGCAATTCTCCTTTAGTAGATGGCATGCAGTTATAAAAGCAGATTGCAAATATGTAACTGCTCCTTGGAAAATTTGAATACAAAGTAGTGCCTTAAATAGGAGTCAGATAACATATACACATTAAAGATTTCTTATATGGGGCGCCTGGGTGGCTCAGTCATTAAGCGTCTGCCTTCGGCTCAGGTCATGATCCCAGAGTCCTGGGATGGAGTCCTGCATCGGGCTCCCTGCTCAGCGGGGAGCCTGCTTCTCCCTCTGCCTGTCTCTCTCTCTGTCTCTTATGAATAAATAAATAAAATCTTTTAAAAAATTTCTTATATGACAAGAAATCTATTCAAAACTTTATATTAAATATTCATAAGTAACTACCATGTAAAATAATGATCAAACTTATAACTATAGAACCCTCTACTGTACAAAACTATCATATATTAACTGTTTCATTATATTTTGTGATCCATGTTCATATTTCTTGAAATATGGTACAGATTTAAACAAAAGTAGCTGAGTGAATGATTTAAATAGTAGATACTTGGTATCTATGGGTATGATATCCAACCTAAGAGAAATTTAACAAGTTTTTTAAAACTTAGAATAATGAAATAGAACATGATTGAATGTATTTTTAAAAGGTGTATTCTTTCATTTCAGGAAAAAAGGGAAGGGAGAGGAAAAGAAAAAAACCTAATAAAGAGGAAAGTAAGGACGCAATACCTGATAACAAAGGTCTGGAACCCAGCAGAGAAACTCCAGAACAACGAGAAAACAAAGACAAACAGCAGCAGAAGAAGCGAAAGGTCCAAGATAAACAACAGAAATCGGTATCGGTCAGCACTGTACATTAGAGGGTCCCATGAGATCGTTGTAAACTCATGATGCTGCTATCTCAACCAGATGCCCAGGACAGGTGCTCTAGCCATTAGGACCACAAATGGACAACGTGTCAGTTACTGCTCAGTCTCAACAACATTCCAAATAGTTGCTATAGTCTTCATACAAGCATAGTTAACAACAAAGAGCCAAAAGTTCAAAGAAGGGATGTTTTCAAATGGTTATCTTACATGCTTCTGTGCATTTCTAAGAGACAAGAAATTTTGTACATAATTATCAATAGGCTATAAGATGTAACAACATAATGATGACATCTGGAGAAGCAACATTTTTTCCCTATAAAAATCATTTTCAAGCTATTGCTTTAAGAAGCGAAAGATAGTTCTGCAAATTCAAAGATGCAGTATCCCTTCAAAGTAAATAAGAGATCAGGGAAGAGAAACATCTTTCAAAGTACGGTGTTGTTTTGTCCAGGACATCTAGAGAGTGATCAAATATTAGGGCCTGGCATTTGGGATCATAGGAATTATCACCACAGAAATGACTGTTTTCAGATCAGTTCTATTGCTCTCACCATGTCCTTCTGCAAGAAACAGGAGAGTGTACACCAGAGTTAAGCATTATGTATGGGATTGGAGAAAGGCAAAATGTGGAAGAAACCATAGCATTGGAGATGACTTCCGTGCTTTACAAAACTGTGAAGGGTTGTGATTACCTGGAACAGGTCTCCAATCGATGTCAGCACTGTGTGGTTCAGCCTCTGCTACCCCTTGGGTTATAGAAATCTGTACACATGTACCTGTAGCTTCCAAAAGCAAAATCATACTTATTAGAAGAAAATTCTGATTTCATAGAAAAACAAAAACTAGAGCAAGGAGAATAGAACATGTTTGCAAAGTCATGTGTGTTCTGAGTGAAAAACAATTTTATTACCTGCTTAATGGTCCACCTGGAACTAAAAGGGATACTACTTTCTAACAAGGTGTATCTAGTAGGGGGGAAAGCCACCACAATAAATATATTTGTTGATAGTTTTTAAAGTTTTGTTCATTTTGTTTTATTGTTTGTTTTATTGGAAAATTGTTATGCTTACAAACCATGAATTAGGAAAGGGAATTCTGTATCCTATGTAATCTGAACATATTACATTTCTCAATGCTTGCTTTTGGAATCCACCGTTTGTAAGTAGATAGAGATTTACTTATAGGGTATTAGGAGATATTTATTCAACTTTTCCCTTAATCAACAAAATTCTAATTCTAGGTGCATAGGCCTCCCGAAATGATTTCACTGCTCCCCCTTCATTGCTTAGAAATTAGCATCTTTCCTTGTATGTCAGTTCCTCCTGCATCTTGAACATTTGGCCTTTTCTTCTCCATATTTTCTCAGTCTGTGGATCTCTTTTGGGGATTGAAGTCACCCTAGCTGAAGGCCTCACCAGTGTTTCACAGAAGACACAGCCAGCCCAGGGCAGGAGGAGACATCTCTGAGCAAGCAGCACCGAATCTCGTGGCCCACCTTAACCTTCCTGTTGTAGTGGAAGGACGCACAGCTGTTCTGCCCACCACACTTCCTAGCCCTCTAAAGATCAATGCTTTCTGAAGAACTGGCAATGGCATCTGGCTTCTGGCTGCCTATCTCTGGTCACTCTTTTTCCACCAACTGTACTGTTCATGTGGACTGCTTGGCTTAATTCGTCTTTCACTTCTCTTGTTGTCTTCCAAGATATAAAATTTTTGAATGATGCATTTCTGTTTCTCACTTTGTGTTTTCTTTCCTAGTGTGCATGAGATAAGTGTTTCAACTAACTAGATCTATTCCCAATGTACGAAAATAATTCTATTTTCAACTACAGCTTATATCACCAAGGAGAAATAAACCTTTTCCTACAAAACTGTATTAAATGGAAGTATATTCCCATGTTCTAGAACTTTTGGATGGCTTCAGACTTCATCTTTGTCCTCAGTCTTATCTAGTCAAGCATAAGTGGCCGAATTATTTGTCTCTTTCTATGTTAATCATTCTCTCCATTCTTTCAAAAAGCAAATACTGGCAAGGTCTAGGCATGCAAATGCAGTGCTGGAAAAGGGTTAAATCAACCAGGACACAATAGTTGTGGCAATGACTATCATGTCTTCCTTTTGACTTAAGACTTACCCTGAAATCCTCCAGAAAACAGCAGACAATCTAAATCCTTGATGCAGCACTTAAATAAAAGTAGAATTATTGCAAAGGAAAAAATAAAAAGTAGCATTAATATTCATACTTTGGGGGAAATATAAATGAAGACAAAGATAACATCAATTTTAAACGTACCTGCAATAGATCTCGAGGCACATGGAAACATTATGATCGTCAAACAGGCAGCCTACTCAACTTTGAGCAAAAACTCATGATCAACTTCTGGTAAATTTCCCACACTAGTCACAGATAGCATTAACTCTCTGCTCTGATTATGTCTCTAGGATCTGGTGAACTGTTGATGGTAATGGATGGCTGGTAAATTCTCGATTCAAAGAGAATCGAAAGAGTGCAGCAACATAAATCTGGCTATGTCTGATCCACACTCCTGGTCTCCAAATTCTGCTTTATAACTCAGGGGAGGTCTGTCTTCTATAGTCAAAGTAAGGTTCTGGTCCCAGATATTAGCCATTAGCAAATCACCTGAGTGTTTTGGGTTCCCATTTTCTGTCTTTTTTTTTTTTTTAAAGATTTTATTTATTTGAGAGAGAGAGAGTGCGCAAACAAGCTGGGGAAGAGGCAGAGGAAGAGGGAGAAGCAGACTCCCCTCTGAGCAAGGAGCCCGATGCGGGACTCAGCCCTAGGACCCTGGATCCTAGGACCCTGGGATCATGACCTGAGCCGAAGGCAAATGCACCCACGTGCCCCATGGGCTCCCATTTTCTTAAGTGCAACATGAGAGAGGTGGGCTGAAGATGATTACTGGCAGGGGAGCATGTGACCTCTCTGTTAGCTCAGGGTGATGCCCCTAAGGAGTCCTCATCAGTGGCAGTGTCCTCTGGGTTCCTCAACACTGCTTTTTCCCAAACATGAAAGTGTATAGGCTCATAAAAGATACAGATTGAACTCTGATGTTACTGAATTAAAAGTTGTTCACATTAGTGGTTATTAAAATATTGAAATGAATAACATTGAGAAGGAAAAAAAGGAATATGTAAATAAATACAACTTACGCCAGAAAGCTTTCAGAATATCCTCACAAAGGGAGATCTCAAAGAAAATGGGAGATTCTCTATAGCTAAAGTTAGGCAGTCTGGGTTAACATCCCAGTTGTGCTACTTAATTGTCATAAACTGTGTGACCTTGAGCCAGTTGTGTGGGCTCTCAGAGCCTCCATTCCTCATCTGCAAAATGGAAATGACAACGCCTACCTTGGAAAGTTGTTAGGAGAATTGAAAGGCTCATTACTCAATATAAGAGTAAACTATATACAAATATGTACAAAATATACACATAAAATATACAAATAAATATCACTAAGAAGTAATGACTCATTTCACAAGTCACACATATAAGTTCAGTTTTATTTCTTGAGTAATGATGTGATAATATCCATATAAATGTACACATGTAATAATTTCAAGGTGTATACGTGAGTATCACCAAAATGAAATTGGTAATAGTAACTAAAATGCCAGTTTTATCTTAAAACCTCTTAAAATTGAGATATTACTAATTCTTTAAAATATGCATCTGCATTTTATCAGTGAACATAAATAAAAACACTCCACCTTTCCCATGGATATTTTAATAGCAGAGGAACTGACTAGACTCTTTCTCAAAACAATGGCAACTATTCTCTGCAAATTAGGAGAGAAAAGTCCTCTTCCTAAGGCTGATTTCTTACTTCAGAGTTCATCTGGAAGCCAAATCTATCCTTCACTGAATAAAATTAAATAAAGCTGGTGGTCAGATCAGTTGAGAATTTCCCATTGCAAGCATAACACTTCATCTCACCAAGTTAGATGTACTACTTTTTATTATATTTCTAAATTAGAAAAAAAAAGAAAAAAGACAAAAGTGTGCCTCCTTTGTGCTAGCCACTCACCCTTTGGCTAAGTTATATTATGTAATTGTCCCAAAAGCAGTCTGAGAGAATTACTGATCTCCTTGTTTTAAAAATGAGGAAATGGGGGCACAGGGAAGTGCCTAATGTCACACAAGTAGCAACCAGTAAGGCTGGAGGTCCCTCTCAGCTCTGGCTGACTCCAAAGCCCATTCTCTCTCCCCTACATCATATCCCATTAAAATCATATTTATTATTATTTCCAAGAATGTCCATGACACACATTATGGTAGTATTTTCCTGTGATCTGAATTAGCACCTCATGAAAAAGAAGCTAAGAAGTCCAATCACAGAGGCCTTAACCCAGGATAAGAGTCAACTCTGAATGTGTGTCTAAATGTGTGTGTGTGCCTGTATCTGTGTCTACATAGCTCTGAGCTCCAGAGGGCCTGTGGACTGGCTGGTGGAGCAGTGGATAGGATGAGGCCAGTGTGTTCAGACGGTAAAGGAGAAATGAGAATTATGTGCCATCAGCAGAAGACCAAAGTTTATAAACAGAAAGGGAACAGCAGGTATGGCTCCTTGGGGGAGTCCTGGATTGCTATATAGCCGTTTATGACTGTGGACTGGTGCTCAGCTTAGTTCTTTCTCAGTGTAAGCAAGGTATTTACCAGCATGACCACCTTGTCCTTAAGTCCTTTGTCAGAATTAAAATGATACAGGAAGAAACATCACGAGTCTTGCTTATTGTTGGAACTGCCAAAACAGCTTCCTTCAGATAATGCCTCATTTTCTCCCAGCTACTTGAGACATTCAAAATCAATATTTTAATTGTCACACACCTTTTCTTGCCTATCCTGTCTCTTAAGCATTTCAGAGATCCATATATCCATCATATAAACAGGTGAGAAGAAAAAAGGAAGGAATGAAAGGAAGGGAGGAAGGGAAAGAAGAGAAAGGAGGGAGGGAGGGAAGAAAAAAAGCAAAAGATAGTAACCACTTTTATTCATAGTCATTAAAATATGGTTGTAAGAGAACCTCAACCAGTAAAAATATTTCATTAGCTGGAAAATTGGTACATGATAATTTCAGAAGACAGAATTACATGACCATAAAATCATCTGATATATCAACAGCTTAAGAAATAATCTTACACTTCTCTATCTACAGCTGTATGCGATGAAAAATATTGTTGAAAACCATGTTGAGACAATCCAAGATACAGAATCATCCACAGAAGATTATGTTTTCCTTTTAAAAATAGAGAATTGGCAGATACATATTAGAAAAAAATTTAAGCTAAGCTGAATAATAAGTTTAATTACCAAAGTTTTCTTGCTAGTTGAGGTTTAATTGATGTACTAGCTTTTATACTATTAATAGCAGTTACTATTTTAGTCATCACTATCAAATTCCCATCCCAAATAGATTTTAAACAAGAGATAGATTTTTCAACCAGTTTAATAACTCATTAAAAATTTTACAGGAGTGGGGCGCCTGGGTGGCTCAGATGGTTAAGCGTCTGCCTTCGGCTCAGGTCATGATTCCAGGGTCCTGGGATCAAGTCCCGCATCGGGCTCCCTGCTCTGCGGGGAGCCTGCTTCTCCCTCTGCCTCTGCTTCTCTCTCTCTCTGACTCTCATGAATAAAAAAATAAAACATTTAAAAAATTTTTACAGGAGCATCTACCTCTATAATAAAATCAAAATAATGCAATACATTTATAAGTGCTTTGAAATTGTAAACACAATAAATATATAAGCTACTATTGTTTTTAGCCAGTCACTGAGCTGCAGCAACAGATGGCCTTTCCTCATTCCTCGCACTGTTGAACTCAATGGAAACTTTATTCTTAGAGGAAATTATGCATATCTTTCCAAAGAAGGAGTTAATGCAAGTACTAATGCTTGAAGTGACCACATATAAGAATGCAGCATGCGGCCTTTCCTTCTGGCATATTTGTCTTTAGTTGCTATCATTGGAGCTACGTCAAAAATAGAACTGGAGACACCACTTCACTTTGTAAATGTT